AGGAACCTGGATAAATCTTCTTTGATTTCTGCTTCATCCCAAGGCCCATGAATGTTTTCTTTAAAAAGCTGCAGGCGAATGAGGTAGAAAGGGCAGAGGCACGAGATGGAAATAAGCAGAAGGGCGAACAGTGTGGCTCCCACACCACTAATGGACAGCAGGCCTCCTAAAGCTAAAAACGCAAAAAGCAGCGTGACTCCCACATAGCTGCGAGGAGTCCGTGCCTTTAGCTTCTTTTGTAGCATGGGCCACAGAGCAAAGATCTGGATGGCAAATGTCACCATGATGAAGGCATGTAAGGACCGGGGCAGGCGTGAGGCTAGGCAGACAGACGCAAAGATGGCCATGTTCAAGGACAGTGTGCTGGATACAATGGCAGCGTTGGCACCATAGTCGAAGAAGATGAGGTGACCTAGCAGCATGAAGACCGACATGGCGTAGATGGTGTCAGTGCTGACTGACTCTGTCAGGGTCTTCAGCACTGGTGAGAAGCCATATGTAAAAGTGATGAAAACCAGCGCACTCTTCAGGTCGGCCCACCGGGTCCGCCCACTCTTTTTGCGCCCTTCACCTCCATCAATGAGATCAAACAAAACATACCCAATCAGTGAGGAAGCTAGGCCGGTCCCAAAAAGCCACTGAGGGGCCAGCAGACCTTCGTCCATATACCACCAGATAACCACAAACACACACACACTGCACAACTGCTGAATCACCACGCTGGACTCAAACACGACAGCCCAATATTGGTATTTCCGGGCATAAATGTTTTTCCGAAGCTCTTCCAGAAACCTCCGATCCACATAATTATCAGGGAAGGGCTGTCGCTCATACAAGACCTTCTGCCACTTGGCCTCCTTGGTGTTAGTTTCTGGCTGGTCACACATTATTATTTTCCAAAACTCAGGCCTGTTCAGTCTCCCCGGAAGAAGTCCATGTGGTTCTGGTTCTTTATGAAGTTTTGATATAAGGCCTCTCTGGAAATTCCATGCTGTGCTGTAGCTGACAGTCTATTGACCTTCCTTTGCTTCCAAAGGCAGCAACCCAGGCCAGGCCTGCAGTAGATGAGCTTGTTCTCTGAGGCAGGGCAACACACCAATTTCCTGAGGGGGAGGGATGGAAAAAGAGATGAACTGATGAAAGCTTTGAAACCTGGAAACAGCAATGTATTGAAATTTAAACCAACTCGGTCAACTAAAAATAAAAATGTATGTGGTAGCCGTGTCGTAATTAGAGAGGTGAAAACTGCATTTCAGGTTTTAAAATGAGAATCTCTTGAGCAATAATAGCAACTTTCGATGTGCAAGGTACTTTACATACCTTCTTTCACCTCCTATTCAGTATCTCTCCAAGTTGTATTGGTTTCACTTTAATCAGTAAAAAGGCTGAAGTTCGAAATGCTAAGGTAATTTTTAGCCCCAATACAAGTGGTAAATAGTAGAGTCAGGATCCAAACCAAGTCCGATCTCAAAACCTGTGCTGCATTATCCTTGAAAGCAGCTCTTAACTGTTATTATTGTTAATGTGCCGTGGAGAAGCTTGCGACTCACAGTAGCACTATGTACAAAAGCCCTGAACCCTGCTCTGTCCTGTGTCAACCTCACTGTCTCTGACACACATACCTCCATTACCCCAGTCACTGAATCGATCCATCTCATCAAGGGTCTTCCTCTCCTCCGCTGTCCCTCCACCCTCCCAAGCATGATGTCCCTCTCCAAGGACTGATCCCTTCTTACAACATGTCCAAAGTGTGTCAGTGGAAGCCTCAGAATCCTTGCCTCCAAGGAGCAGCCTACCCTCGCCAGGACGAGCCTGTTTATTACTGGGTCAAATATTCGACTCTCTAAGTGAGGTTCAGAGGGTCTCATCTAATGACAACAGCTCATAGCATAATACAGAGAAGCAGGAGCTCTGAGGTTCATTTAGCCAAAACCAAAAACTCGTAAAAACTATAAAGATGCTTTAACTATCAGTAGAGCTTAACATGCTTTACAGAGTTGTCTTATAACCTCAAAGCTCCTTTGGCGACATAATAATAACTCCTTTTCACAACAGGAAAAATAAATCCGAAATAACAGGGCTATCTAGCAAATCTGCGAAGAAAAATCCTTTCTGCCCGACTTATCTGTCCTCCATGAAGTTAATGAGACTGTGCTTCAAAAGCCAGGACACCCTGGGAGTCCCCTTCAATGGACCTGGGCCAGTAGCCATCGCCCGGAGCCGGGGGTGTGAGGCGCCGAAATGAGCAACGCCCGCCCGTAGGGCGGGGGCGAAGGCCGGGTGTCTCCGGGGGTCTCCTAACCAGCTTCCTAGGCCTCCCCTGCCCGCCGCAGCTCCGCACCCAGCCATGGGAATACGGGGGATGGCAGAGGAGACGGGGACCCGGAAACAATGACGCCCACTACCAACCCACCTGCCCGCTGGTTCCCAGGGGTGCGCGGCCGGGGGAGGGCGGCCGCCCGCCTCCTTCCCCATCCGGGGCGCCGGGGTCGCGCGACGGTGACAGAACACTTCCGGGTCTGCCACAACCTTCACAGCTAGAGCGTCCTCCTCCGCGGGAGGGAGAGCCGCGAGGACGCTGCTGCCTCCTTCTGGTGGCTCGGAAGGCCTCTCGGAACCAATCTAAACCAGAATGCAGGGCGTGTTAGGAAAAGATAGGTAATGAGTAGTGCAGATGGGCCTGGTGAGGCGAGTGAGGAGGGAGAAGGGGCTGGCTGCTAGAAGATGATTATTAGGGCCACTTTCATTGAAGTTCCTATTATAAAATCAGGCCCAGGGAGCCCTGGTGGCCTAGTGGCAAAAAGCTGCACTGCAATCCCAGAGGTGCAGTTGTGCGGTTCAAATCCACCAGATGCTCTGCTGGAGAAGGAGGGGCAATGTCCTCCTCCTGTACCAGTCAGATCTAATTTGACGGTACACACACACACAAAATAATAAAATAAAATTTAAATAAAAAATCAGGCCCTCAGTTTGAATTTCTGCATACCTGCGTTCATGGAACAGATTATCATTGAATACCAACAAGTATCAAGCATTGTTCTCAGTGTTCCTGATAAGGCAATAAATGAAACAAGGGAAAACAATTCCTCTGCTGTTCTGAGGCTGGTTTTCACATACTATGACCTACAAAGAATTGTCATCCAGCTCTCTTCACGAAAAGCAAACTGAAGCTCAGAGAGACTGTGATTTGTCCAAGAACTCGCAGTGGCTTGATGGATGGTCCGAGATTTAATAGTCTGTTCTGTCTGATGTGACAGCATGCTTCTTTCCTTTCTCTCCCTCGATGGTTAAGAATGAAAGGCCTTAAAATATAGCCAGAGGCTTAAAGTAGAAAATTGCTAAGATTTGGTGTCCATAGAAATATTAAAAACGTGAAAACTTGAACTCATCTTCAAGGAGTGGAAATGACTCACGGCTGACCCTCCGTTGGGTTTCAGGAGCTGTAAAGTATAAATTCCGCTGGTGGATTCATACTGTTGGTGGATTTCTATGAGTTTTGGATTTGCAGCTCAACGCTCTGCAGACTATAGCATCAGAGCTCCCTGAGGAAATATTAGCGGGTGCATAAACATAAAAGCAATAGCAAAGAATTATAGCTGGGACCCAAACAGGCAGCAGATTGAAAGCCTAGAGCACAAATCACACGTTCTGAGTTCTGATCTTCTCACCTCCTGAATGGAGACAACAATATTTGTACTTGCTTGCTTAATGGGACAGAAGACAAATTGATGCTTTTGAACCATGATGATGAAGAAGAGTGCTGTATATCCCATGGACTGCCAAAAGAACAAACAAATATGTCTTTGAGAAGGTGTAGTCAGTGTTCCTTGGAGGCAAAGATGGTGAAGCTTCATCTCACATACTATGACATGTTGCTAGGAGAGGTTATTAGAGAAGGACATCATGCTTGGAAGGGTGGAGCGACAGCAAAAAAGAGGAAGACTCTCAACCAGATGGACTGACACAGTGAACGGGCTCAAGTATGGCAAAGGTGATGAGGATGGCACAGGATAGGATAGGATAGGATAGGATAGGGTTCAGATCTGCTCTTCATAGGATCAGTATGAGTTGTACTTGACAGCACCTAACAACAGCAACTATTTTATGAGAAACAAGCCCTGGTGGTGAAGTACTAAACCTCTCTGGCCACTAACTGAAAGGTTGGTGATTCGAATCCACCAGCCACTCTGAGGTTAAGGTTTAGAACCTTGGAAACCCGATGCAGGGTCACTGCGAATTAGAATTGACTCTGTGACAGTGAAGTTGTTTGGGTTTGTTTTTTTGTTGGTTTTGTGTGTGTGTGGTGTGTTTTTTTTTTTTTCTTGTTTGTTTTTTTTATGGGGTTTTTTTGTTTGTTTTTTGCTTTTGGGATAGTTATTAGAGTCAAATATAAAACATTGGAAAATGTTTTGTAAAGTATTGACTGTTACCTGTATATAAACATAGCTGCTATTATATTATTATTTGTTATTGTTGTTGTAATAATAGCAAAACTCAAGTGTGACAAATTTTGCAATATAATATCTTTGTATTTCTCTCCAGGTTTCTATTGCAAAATTGGACAAGATTCCTTGGCTTAGTGAAGCCAGCCTTGTTAACAAGCCATTAGTGCTCAGCCTTCCTCAAAGGTGACAGCCCACCTCTAAGGGCAGAAGGTTCCAGAAAGTTCTCACAGAGGATGTGTTCTTCAGAGATGGGGAGGAGGGACACACTTCATGAGGAAACCCAAGTCTAATGTTAAAAAAACAGAAATGACCTGTGTTTCTGAGATGAAAGTGAACACTGAGTAAGGCCTGGTCTGGGAAAATATCATTCCACATTTCTCTCCTCTCCACCACCACTACTTTATTCTTCCAGAGAACTTTGCTCCCCATGCCCCGCACGCGCACACACGTATTCCCTTTTCAAGGCTTCCTCCATATTCTCTTTACCTTTTTTGACTCTTTTATTTTTAATTTTCATGTTTCAACCATCATCAACCTAAAGCCTTTGTTATTAATGTTATTAAGTGACTGAGTTGGAACTAACTCTTTGCTGACCCTCCAGTAGGTTTTCAGAGGCTATAAATCCAAGGGGTGGAGATTACCCATCCCTCTCTCATGGAGCAGCTGGTAGGTTCAAACCATGTACCTTTGTGTTGGTAGCACAACTCTTTACCCATTAGGCCACCAGAGCTTCCTATTATAAGCTTTACAGAGTAGCAACTCCTACATTTGAGTGTGAGGGGGCTTCCTCCAGGTCACTCGCCCCTCCCTTCCAAATTGCCGTAAAACATGTATTTCTAGACTTAGTGTGTTAGGGGCATTTTAGTGCTGCCATTTGAAATGATGGGTTTCTTCAAGTTCCTCCCATGCCTGTTTTTTTAACAAGAGGAGTCCTGGATGTGGCCTGCACTGCAAAGAGGAATGGAAGGGAAGGGGCGTGTGAGGTTGTGAGACAATGGAGTGAGTGGAAGCTCCAGGTGAGTCTGGAAGCAAGGCTGGCTGGGGAATTGGGGGCAAGTTCATAGATACATCACTGACCAGTTTGAAAAAGGGCAATTCATTGGAAAAGAAGGCTGCTTACAAGATAGGTTGTAACTCTTAAGTAGAGTTTTCACTGTCGGGTACCTTCTTGTCCCTAGAAATGTGATTATCTGGGAGGCCCATTTTTGTTCCTCCCTCTATGAATAACAAACATGAACAGTTGTTTATCAGCTGAACTTTTTTAAAATTACCCCCTCTGTATGCATTTATACAACTTTAAAACCTTGAGAAGAATGGGAATCCCAGAACATTTGATTGTGCTCATCTGAAACCTATACTTGGACCAAGAACAGAGCAAGGAAACACTGCATGGTTCAAAATCAGGAAAGCTGTATACAGGTGTACATAGGGATGCATTCTATCTCATAACTTTTTAATCTATATGCAGCAAAGATCAGCTGGGAGGCTGGACTTTGTGAGGAGGAATGTGTCATCAGGTTTAGAGGAAGACTTATCAACAACCTGCATTATATTGATGATACAATCTTGCTTGCTAAAACTGAGGAGGACCTGAGGTGTTTGCTGCAGAAGGTCAAGGTTTGCAGCCTTCAATATGTATTGAAGTTCCACGTCAAGAAAACAAAGATTCTCACCACTGGGCCAATTGGCAGCATCATGATAGATGGTGAAGAGATTGAAATTGTTAACTGTTTCATCATGCTTGATTCCACAATCAACACTCTTGGCACCAGTAGCCAGGAAATCAAAAGATTAATTGCATTGGGAAAATCTTCTGTCAGGGTCCTCTCCAGAGTACTGAAGAACAAAAATGTGAGTCTAGAGACTACGATACGTCTGATCCAAGCCACTGTTATTGCAATTACTTGTTATGCATTTGAGAGATGGACAATGACTGAAAATGACAGAAGAATTGATACCTTTGAGTTGCGGTGCTAGAGAAGAATATTGAACATACCATGGACAAAGAGAACAAATCTGAAGAGGATGAAACCAAGCAGTTCTTTGGAGAAAAGGGTCTTGAAGCTCCATCTCACATACTTTGAATATGTTTCACAAGGAACCAGTCCTTGGAGAAGAACATCATGCTTGGAAGGGTGGAGGGACAGCATGAGAAGAATACCCTAGATGAGATAGATTGGCTCAGTGACTGGGGTAATGAGGGTAGGCGTGTCAGAGACAATGAGATTGGCTCAAGCTAGAACAAGGTGTACATAGGGCCACTATGAGTTGTATTCGACTCGACAGCACAAAACAAGTCTTTTCAGAGCACCCCTAAAATGCTTGTTGCCCTATTATTTTTGTAACTTTTAGATGTCTAAATGCCAATGAATTAGCTTCTGAGTAGAAAGCAGAATTTCAGAAACCCAAGTCTTATTTATAAAGCTGCATGAGGTGATATAGTTGTGAGCACATCAGGGTTCAGTGTGAGTGCGGATACCTTTAGTGTCTTTTATCAATGGTAGGGGGGCAGAAACTCAGGCAAGATGAGTGTCAGATAAGGGGCATACTGAGTCAATCTGGCCAAATGGACACTGTGGTGAACACAGGTCTCCAGGTCTCAGAGGGACAACCTGCTTTCAACTCCAGCCACTGCTGCTTGCAGGAACCTTAGGTGCAGTGGCTGGAAATTCAGGTTTTTCCACATGCCACATATGTGGATTTTTATGTGAAATTTCTAGACCTTGGCCTCTAACAGAGTAACATTGCACCATCCCAGGCCACCCACATGCCTACCCCTCCAGCCAGGAACAAAGCATACCTGGCCCTGGCTGTCCTGCTCCCACCAACTCTCTTCCTTAATGATACAAACCTTTGATGCTATTGGTGGCCAAACTCGAAACTTGCTGTCTTTAAGTTAGTTCTGACTTACAGCATCCCTCCAGGGTATCAGATTTCTAAGGCTATAAATCACAGGGGGAGACTGTCCACCACCAGACACACAGCCTTTGGCTTAGCTGCAAAACTCGCTCTAGACTACACTCCCATTGCTGGTGCACCATGGTCCAGACTACACCACTGGCTTGGTGATGCTGTTGTTCAAACTCAAGCTCACTGCTGGGGAGCTGGTCTGGGCTCATTGTGACCCTCTAGTTGGTTTCTGAGGTTGGAAATCTCTTGAGAGACGAGTGGCCGTCTTGCTCCCACAGAGCTGCTGGTGGCTTTGAACCATCAGAGACGTGCAGCCTTTGGGTTAACAACACAGGTTGCTAAAGACTCTGCCACCAGCTCATCAAGCCAGTTCCATCTCCTAGGGCTTGTAATGCTGTGGGCCTTTTGGAAGCAGATAACCAAGCTTTCTTTCCAAGGCACCTGTGATTGGGTTTAAACGCCAACCTCTCAGTTGACAGTCAAGCATGTAAGCATTGTTACACACTGATGCACAGACCTTTGAGAGGGTAGGGAAAGGCTCGAGAGGCAGGCTTGAGAAAGGCAAGCCCAGAAAACAAATGGCATCCTCAGCATCCATTCACCATCAGAGCCAGACACTGAGGGCTCTTCTGTAGACAGCCAGCTGGGCAGGGAAGTTGGTGGTTTTGTCCTGCACCCACCAAGCTTACATGAATCACAGGACAGGTTACCTATGGTGAACAGTGAAGTTCAACTCCGTGCTGTTCTGGGAGGATTTGAGGCAGCCATTTCAACCTTTGTTAAGAGAAATGGAGCTTACTTAGCTCACACAAATGCCAAGAAAACTGCTGGTGAGGAGGTGCCCCAAGCTTTCAAGAGGACAAGGCAGGAATGTAAAGCGCATGTTTTG